TATCGAGATCCTAATTTGGAAAAGGTGCCGCGAATACAGCCGGAGATAACAGACGATATTAATTTTCAGACACAAGATGAAATCGAGCCATCGGAAAATTCTGTTTCTCCTGAAAACATTAATGACGAAGCAGTCGGCAATGATCCCGATTTTGACCCAGAATTAGAGAATAGTTCAAATTCTTACTCAGATGACGAAGATTTCGAAAAAACTGAAAATTCTGTCGAGGATGAGGGCCCAAGACGAAAACACTCTACTAAATATGAAATGAAAAGAAATAAATGGCAGGAAAATATTAATCGAGTGAATAGAGAGAAAGGAAAACAATTCGTTGGAAAACGAAAAAAAAAAAATGGAAAGTGGAGATACGATAATGTGAAAGAGCCAAAAACGATAAAACAAGCATGCTACTGTAAGTTGAGTGCCTTCGAAAAATCCGCTCTGAAATGCCGGATGCTACATCAAATGGAGAGAGAAAATATTTTAATTTCAATTTTGGCAATATACCTTGGCAGAAAAAAAGTTATTCGTTCGAAACCATGTAACCGTACATCCTACTATTAAAAAAGAGGAAGCAAGGATGTTTCAAGAAGATCATACACAAATCAATTTTATTTGGGCAAAGAGAAACTAGGGGTATGTAAGACGATGATTCTCAATACCACAGGAACACAAGAGTGGGTGATCAAGAAATGGGCAAAAATTGATGTGTTGAAGACCATAGGCAGAAATTCAAATGCTTCGACAAATTGAAATGAAATTCCTAATACCAAACTTCCAACGCTACATGCTTTCTTTGAGCCTCTACCGAAGTTGGAATCACATTATTGTAGAGCTCTATCTAAAACATGTTTGGGAACATTTCATAAAGAATTTGATAAAAAGCGGCTATCTCTGTACAAACCAAAGAAGGATCTCTGTGATACCTGTGTAGCTTTCGAAACTTACAACTCACCAGAAGAAAGATACTATCATTCCATCGAACTGAAGGATGAACAACAATGTCTGAGGAACTAAACGTAATTCCAAACGAACAATTTGGTTTCAGGCGAAACCATTGCACAGAACTCCAAGTTCTCAGAATAGTAGATTACGCGATTACAGGATTAAATCTCGGAAAAGGACATTATACTGGAGCAGTCTTCCTTGACGTTTCGAAAGCATTTGACAGGGTCTGGCACGACGGACTACTGACCAAAATGACAGACAACGGGTACCCGACATCTATGGAAAAGCTAATAGCCTCCTTTCTGCGGGGAAGGCGATACCAATGTAAAGTTGGCAACGAAATCTCTGCAGAGAGGGAGCTAGAAGCAGGAGTACCGCAAGGTGCGGTCCTATCCACTACTTTTCTCCATTTTTACCGCAGATATCCCTGAACCCGCGAACAACTTCAACAAACTCGCACTATACGCCGACGACACAGCCATAATTGCCAGATTCAGTAAAGCAGACATGACAGTACGGTACCTACAAGAACAGATTGACACACTAGAAACCTGGTTCAATAACTGAAAGATATAAATAAACGTATAGAAAAGCCAAGCTGTTCTCTTCACTAGACGACGTACCAAACCTACAGGACACGTAATACTGAACGATACACAGATACCATGGGCAGACGAGGCAAAATATCTAGGGGTAACCCTAGATAACAAACTCACTTTTAGACAACACATTACAGCACGACTAAACCAGGGTAAAGCCGCGAGGCAAAACCTACATCCTCTAATAGGTCGCAGAAGCAACATGGCTCTAGAGTTGAAGCTGCGCCTAATAAGAAACATACAAAAAGCGAATACAGGCATTTCAAAACGTCTCAATGAGAATGGCAGTAAACGCCCCATGGTATATTCCACATAGATTTATCTATAGGGACCTGAACATGAACCCAAACTACATAGGCAACTACATAAGACAACACGCGGAGACTACATTCGGAAGAACGGAAACCCACGAGAACCCGCTACTGTACGATCTGACCAACAGACAATTAAATCAAGACCCGCGCTTCGGAAGAATAAAGTACAGGCGCCCAATTCACCAAATATGAGATAAAAGAACGAAATTGAATCAATATCAATAAAAGTTTCATAATAATCATCAGATAATTAAACAAAAGAGTATCTCCTTTGATACCCTATAAAAAAGTAAACCAATAATAATAAGACATAAACTCAATTTTGCTTCCCATTAGGGTAGGGAACCACCACGCAAAGTCAGGCTAGGAAACACACATAAGACAAAAAGGTTTAAAAGTCGGAAGACTGAAACCAAGTAAGGGCTTTTATAAAATATTAAAGATTGCCGAATGCATATGGTTGAAGTCCACTCGTTAGTGAGTAGGGGTGGATGGACATGGGGATGAGGAGCTATCATATAACGTAAGCTAGTTATATGGCGGCACTTGATCTTGGGCATTCAACCTTTCGGGGGGCGTGGTGTGTGTGTGTGTGTCTCTACCTGAGAATCTTACTGAGTCTCTAGATTTAAGATTCGAATCTACTATAGCAAAGTCTGAGAGACTGCGTGATTTCGGTTGCGAAGTGATTGAAATTTGGAAGAGCGAATTCCGGAAGAAACTGACTGTAGAAATGAAAACATATACTGAAAATCATCCAATCCTCAGAAATTCACCTCTCGATGCCAGTGATGCTTCCTTTGGCGGACGTACTGGTAATGCAGTTGAATATTACAATTGTAAGGAAGGTGAACAAATTAGGTAAGTTGATGTTTGTTCCTTATATCCGTGGGCTTGTTAATATGGAAAATTCCCCACGAGCCATCATATTGTACACGTCGGTGAGGAATGTTCCGATGTCAGCCTGCAGAACACCGAAGGGCTCATCAAATGTACGATACTCCCACCTCAAAATCTCCACCACAAAAAATCAATAATAAACTGATGTTTGTCCTCTGTCGATCATGTGGTCAGAATATGAATAGCGATGAGTGCTCCCATGATGAAGAGAAAAAAGCGCACACGGGTATATGGGTGATCGATGAGGTGTTGGAAGCTCTTGAAAAAGGCTATAAACTGCGAGAAATACAGGAGATATGGAGTTTTAGTATTCAACAGTATGAAAAATGAACGAAGATACCTAGACAATTCACTTCAATGATGAATAAATTTATAAAAATCAAACAGCAAGTTTCGGGCTGGCCAAAGAACTGTCGAAATAGAACGATATATTGAACAATTTCTCGATCGAGAAGATGTTCAGTTAGAATTCGATTAGATCGTAAAAAACCCCGGTCTTCGCTTGCTAGCCAATCTGATTTTAAATTCATTCATTTGTTGAAATGGAGTGGTCTAATGAACTAATTGAAGAATTTTTGGAACTTCAAGAAGAAGAACCAGCTATATGGAACCCAATGGACCCGAATCATAAATATAGAAATTTGGTGCATGATAGCTGGAAGAAAATAGGAAACAATTCGAGTGTGAAATGTTCTGTCGTGGATCTTGAAAAGAAGGAAGAGGCACTGATAGCAACTTTTCAAAAACTCTCGCAGTAAGTGAAATCAAGCAGAAGAACCGGCACCGACAAATTTTTACATGGAATTTACACACCTTATGAAACAAAATATTCAGAGGTACACAGAAAAAAATTCTAGTTCACATTCGAGTATAAAGTTAGTATTGGAAAAACATTCTAAACATGAGTGTTTTTACATTCGAATTGACAATATCTCTATTGAGAGAAGAATATACTACTCTCAATATGAAAAGACAGATACTCTTGATCATCAAGATAAGGATACTTTTTCTTGGACATTTTTTCGTTACTTTGCTATCATGTCAACATTGATTCAAAATAAATGTATTCTTCGAACTGAGATATGCATTCCTAATTCGATACAAGTTTGTTGCTTTTTCTATAACATGTAATAACGGAAAACAATATGTCAATGCTATCCGAAGATTTGATTGAAGAATTAATTTCCACGAAGAGAGAAACTCAAAGTCATTACCACAACAAGTTCATAAAATGAACTACAAAATGGTAGATAACGAGAGAAAAACAACTACTTTCCTGGCTATATGCCACGCAGAACATTGCATTACATCCTCCCGAAACCTATGCGATAGTTCGTATAGACGAATAAAATCGCAAGTGTTTCTTTCCTAAACGCTGAGCTGCGCTTAAGTGGTTCAGGAACGCTGACTACCTGCAGACCGGTTTCGAGCTCTTGGCTCTCATCAGTACAGGGCTGGATGAGAGCCAAGAGCTCGAAACCGGTCTGCAGGTAGTCAGCGTTCCTGAACCACTTAAGCGCAGCTCAGCGTTTAGGAAAGAAACACTTGCGATTTTATTCGTCTATACGAACTATCGCATAGGTTTCGGGAGGATGTAATGCAATGTTCTGCGTGGCATATAGCCAGGAAAGTAGTTGTTTTTCTCTCGTTATCTACCATTTTGTAGTTCATTTTATGAACTTGTTGTGGTAATGACTTTGAGTTTCTCTCTTCGTGACCAATGCATTCCACTTTGAGTATTTGGCTTTTTCCCTAGTTGAATTAATTTCCAGTATAGGAAAACGAATGATGTTACTTGAAAAATGAAGAAAAATAAAAAAAATCATCGGTATGTATACATATATTAATATTTATCGAGATATTTATCTTTACATACGTAGGTATACAGGATGGACCATTAGTGCGAGGAAGTCCAATATCTTCGTTATCGTGGAGAAACAAAATCAAAACCCTGTTTCTGTGTTTCAAAAGGTGCATATTTTGATAATACTCTCATATATACAGGTTGTTGCAATACAGCGGGGCAATTTAAGTGAATTTATTTGAATGTTAACGTCTATTGATTTTCACTCCATGAAACCGAGTATAACATTCCATATATAACACCATATTGAATTATGACATTGGTTGCGTTGTTGCCAAATAATATTTTTTCCTATAAAGATACCTACTAGAAAAGCAATACATCATAAAAAAAAGATTTGATCTCGGTTTTGATGGAAATTGCCATTGCATCATCATCTTCAGACATGCTCTCAACATTATATCAGACATATCCTGTAACGATGCAATCGTTACATTTATATTGAATGTCCTATAATCATTATTATCGTCCATCTATGTTTAATTATTAGAGAATCAGATTCCCCAGAATTTCAGAAAACATCTAGCATTTAGCGTTCAATAGCCAAAGCTATCTGAGATGCATACTTATTGCCTGATTCGGGATCTATATTATCATAAGTTTCACGTTCACGACAAAATCGATAGAGGTCGATATATTCGGAACATCTTGGAGACGACATTAGCTGGAGTGCCTCCTTCTCCTGAAATCGACAGCCGAAGCGATAACTTCTTCCCTAAAATTTTGCTTTCCTCACCTTTCTCCGCAAAAAGAGATCAGCAGTGGTTTCGTGTTTGGTTGAAGATAT